CTTTTTATAGCCTTTACTTTTTCCTCTATTTTGTGACCACACTCAACCATTTCTGTGAGCATCTTGATCATCAGTGTTTTGAACTCTGCATCTGATAGGTTGGCTATCTCTTCATCACTTAGTTGTATTTTTGGAGCTTTGATCTGTTCTTTCATTTGGGCCATATTTTGTGTGTGTGTGTTGGCTCACCTGTTATGTTGTAAGGGGCAGAGCCTTAGGTATTCACCAGGGCAGAACAACCCATATTGCAGCACTGTAGTGCTGTATGTGGGGGAGGATCCCGAGAGGGAACTGTGCCATTTGCTCAGCTCTTTGCTAGCTTTCAGTCACTTCTCTCACTACCCACAAGCAAATTGGGCCCTTCTCATGCTGATTGCCAGGTGGGTGGGTTTGTGTACATTCTAGGACCCCATGGGTCTCTCCAACAAACTCTCCTGTGAGGCTGGAAATTTCTTCCACCACTGCAACCCCCACAGGTTTTTATACCAGAGATTTTGAAGCTTTATTTTGCCACGCTGGAATCCTGGGCTGTGCAGTCTGTCTCACTCCCCAGTTGTTTCTCCTGTTTATCTGCATGCAAATGTGGGAGCACTGGGCCCACCAGCTGCTACCTTGCCACATTTCCTCTCTACCCCAGCTGCCTGTCTCCACTCCTCCTACCAGTCTGAATGAATGTTTCTTCTTTAACTCCTTGGTTGTTAGACTGCATACGGTTTGATTTTCTGGCCATTCTGGTTATTTTTTGTTTTTAGATTTGCTGTTAGGTTGTGTGAGAGGCAAAGAGTATCAACCTATGCCTACATCTTGGCCAGAAGTCCTTAGTTGGTTGAGTCTTGCGCATGCCCTGAACCTGCATCCTTGGTATGTGCCCTGACCAGGAATTGATCCCACAAAATTTGGTTTATTAAATGATGTTCTGACCAACTGAGCCATACTTCAAGGCTGTTTCTTTCTTTCTATTGGCTACTTGAGATGCTTCTTATTGGATGTACTATAATTTATGTGCCATAATAGTAGAAATTAAGGTGGTTTCTAACCTTCCACCATCATAAGCAATGCCACAATGAATAGCTTTGCATATATAAGTATGTCTGTAGGATAAACTCTCAGAAATAAAATTACCGAGTTAAGGGTATGTGAAATAAAAATTTTTATAGATACCGTAAATTTCTCTCAACTGAGATTTTTTCTTAGTCTGACCAACTTTTTATTATCAAACTTTTTGATATTTGCTAATTAGTTAAGTGAAAAATGGTATGTCATATTTGAAATTACACTCATTATTAGTGAGATTAAACATTTTTTCACATGTTTAAAAGTCCTTTGTGTTTCTTCTTCTTTGTCTTTTAAAAAATATATTTCATTCATTATGCTATTAGAGTTTTCCCAATTTTTCCTCCTATGTCCCCTCCACCTGGTACCCCCACTCCCTCCAGCAATCCTTCCCTTAGTTCACGTCCATGGGTCATTCATATAAATTCTTTGGCTTCTTCATTTCCTATACTGTTCTTAACCTTGCCCTGTCTATTTTGTACCTACCAATTATGCTTCTTAATCTCTACACCTTTACCCCCATTTTCTCCCTTCCCCCTCCCAACTGACAACCCTTCAGAAAATCTCCTTATCTATGGTTCTGTTCCTGTTCTGCTAGTTTGCTTAGCTTGTTTTTTTAGATTCAGTTATTGATAGTCGTGAATTTGTTGCCATTTTAATGTTCATGTTTTTTTTCTTAACCATGGTTTTACCTTCTTTTTTTTAAATAAGTCCACTTAACATTTCATGTAATAATGTCTTAGTGATGATGAACTCCTTTAGCTTTACTTTGTCTGGGAAGCACTTCAATTCTAAATGTTAGCTTTGATGGATAGAGTAATCTAGGTTGCATGTCCTTGCTTTTCACCACTTTGAATACTTTTTGCCATTCCCCTTCTTGCCTGCAAAGTTTCTTTTGAGAAATCAGCTGACAGGCTTATGGGAACAAATTTTGTAGGTAACTCTCTGCTTTTCCCTTGCTGCTTTTAAGATTCTCTCTTTATTGTTAACCTTTGGTATCTTAATTATGATGTGTCTTGATGTAGACCTGTTTACGTCCATCATGTTTGGCACTCTCTGTGCTTCCTGGACATCTATGTCTATTTCCTTTACCAAACTAGGGAATTTTTCTTTCATTATTTTTTCAAATAAGTTTTCAGTTTTTTTTGCTCTTCTTCTTCTCTTCCTGGCATTCCTATGATTCAGATGTTGTTACATTTAGAGATGTCCTAGAGGCACCTTATACTATCCTCATTTTTAAAAGTTCTTTTTTCTTCTTGCTGTTCTAGTCAAATGCTTATTTCTTCCTTGTGTTCCAAATTGTCGATCTGAACCCTGGCTTCATCCCCTCCACTGTTGGTTCCCTGTAGAGTTTTCTTTATTTCACTTAGTGTAACTTTTATTTTTTCCTGGGTCTTTTTTATTTTGTTGCCGTACTCAATGAGTTCTTTGAGCATCCTGATCACCAGTGTTTTGAACTCTGCATCTGATAGGTTGGTTATCTCCATTTTGTTTAGTCATTTTTCTGGGTTTTTGTTCTGTTCTTTCATGTAGGCCATATTTCTTTGTCTCCTCGATTTGTCAAGTTCTCTGTGTTTGTTTCTCTGTATTAGGTAGAGCTGCTTTGACTCACTGTCTTAGTAGCCTATTGTAGAAAAGTTACCTGTAAATTGTGTGGGGCAGAGACTTAGGTAATTGCCAGGGTGGGGGCAACCTCCTTCACTGTTTTGTGTCTCTGTGTGGGGGAAGGGCTCAGAGAGGGGAACAATACCACTGCCTGGCTTCTGGAGGCTTTCCAGGTGCTTGCCCCGTGTGATTGGTGCCTTTCCAGCTGTTGTCCTAGTGCTGAATCCCGGAAGAGGTGGGTCTACATATGTTTTCCTAAAAATCCGACAGTTCCTTCTGTGGCCCCAACCCCCACTGGTTTTTTACAGCCAGAAGTTATGGGTATTTATCTTTCTGGTACTAGAACCATGGGATGTATGGTCTGGCCTGGGGCCGGGATCACTTGCTCCCAAGGTATCCCCTCCCAATTTTTATCTACCACATGTGACTGTGGGATTGTCTGTTTTGCTGCTGCCTCTCCATGCCACACCATGTCTCTGTGGCTCTCCGCCTGCCTCTGCATCTCTACCCCTCCTACCCACCTGGATGAATGTGGCATGGATCTTTAAATCCTTCATTGTTGGACTTCCCATACAGCTCAATTTTCTGACAGTTCTAGATGTTGTTCTGAGGTCTAGTTGTAATTCTTTCTGTGGTTGAGTCAAGAGGTGAAGCATGTTTACCTATGCCTCCAACGGGACCAGAAGTCCCCTTCTTCTTTAAATTACCTATTTATATTCTACTTTTTTGTGTGTTGGTTGTTAGTTTGTTGGTTTTTAAAAATTGCTTTTAGGAACTCTTTATAATGTAAATTGGTCCTTTTTGATATGATCTGCTGCTTCATGTGTTTCTAATCAATTTGTATGAGTTTAACATACATAAGCTCATGGCAAGGCCCCCTCCTTTTTCTTGGCCTAGGGAGTATTGTGCTGGTTGGTATTCTCTTTACCTAGTCATCTTCAAGGGTGGGTGCTTTAGCTCCAGCTTGCTCTATTTTATCTCCTAATTTACCTGAAGGCAAACATTACTGACCACTTCAAAAGCAAGTATTTTTTCTTCCCCAAAAGTCAGTCTCATGTGAGGAAAGCACAATATTGTGCAGCATCTTATATACTTGAGAAACACACATTCCCTCATTAACATGTTTTCGACTCTAGCCTTGTGAACTAATGGCACTAGTCCTATAGCTAAAAGTGATTCTTCTCCCTCTTTGGTTGGTTTTCATTACAAAGGGCCCAGGTTTTTTTTGTTTGTTTGTTTGTTTTTGTTTTTTTTTTTGCCTGAGTCGTTCTGAGTGAATGAGACATGGGAATGAGGAGGTATAGATGGATGGGGAATAGAAAGGGCAGGTGAGATAATACTAAAGATCTTCATTTTGAGAGCTAAGATACTGGTGGACCTCCTCAGCAGAGGTAGTAATTTTCCATCCTGATGGGTGGAGATGGTCTTCAGAACAATACAATGTATATAATATCTCATGAGCTCATAGGACAAATATTGATCGGCTTGGAGTCATCTAAGAATGACAGAGTTGCAACTGTTTGAAATATTAACTTTGAAGATTATATGGGGAAAAGTTTGGGACTAATAACTAAAGAAAGGTAATAGTGCCATCCCCCACTGGGGTGAGGGAATCCTTCATTTAAATCTATTATCTTAGTTATCTATTGCTGTATAACTAATTACACCAAAATTTAGCACCTTAAAAATAAACAGTTTTGATCACACAGTTTTCCTGCACCAGGAACTTGGTAGCAGCTTATCTGAGTCCTGCTTCAGGGTCTCCCATGAAGTTATCATTAATATGCTGGGACCAAGGTCCTCTGAAGTGTTGGTTGTGGCTAGAGGATCTGATTCTCAGGTAGCTCACTCACAGGGCTGTTGGCAGGAGGTCTCAGTTCCTTGTCAAGTGAATCTCTCCACAGAGCTACTTGCATGTCCTCACACTGGGGCAGGCAGCTTTCCCTGCTGTGATGTAAGACAGAAAACAAGGAGGAAGCCAAACTGTTTCCTGGGACCTAGTCTTGAAAGTCACATACTGTCAATTCTACCATTTTCTATTAATTAGAAGCAAGTCACTAGGGTCAGCTCACACTCAAAGAAAGTAGAGCTTCTTTGAAGGGATGAACATCAAAGAATTTGTGGATTTATTTTAAAACCATCGCACTCAGCATTCTTCAAAAAAGCTTATGATAGCCTACTTTGAACTGTATTCCATTGCTTGAACTACATGTCTCCATTCATGCGAGAAATATTTGTTGTCTTATATGAATCACTGCATACCATTTTTACCATCTGTTACTAGAACCATTTTATTCTAAAGAATGATATCCTCCTAACAGTGGTCTCTTTTCCTTTCTCAGGTGCTTGTTGGGTTTCTTTTTATTCTAGCAGCCACAGAGCTGGTCCTTGTATTCATAGAAGATTCTGGACAAGCCACCGTCCCTGCCATCAGATATACCAATCCAAGCCTCTACCTGGGCACATGGGTAAGGGTCATCACCACTTCTGCCCTGTTTATTTAATCTCTGTTCATAGTCATATAGTTGAAATGTACTCTTTGTACTGAAACAGGGTCCAATTTCATCTACCTTTTTCAAGGGACCTGTGATGAGGGAAAGCTTAATTATAATGGGGTGAAACAGATTTTAGCTCTTCTTCTTTTGAACACTAGTTTATAGACCCTGCTCCTTAGGATGAATACTAGCTTTAATAACTAAGATATGTATCATATGCGCTCATATCTTTCCATCTAAGGATCATATGTGAAATTCTGGCTTATTGACAAGAAGAATTCTCTTGAATGCCATAAATATTACTTTTAAATTGATTTGTAGAGTGTAATCAATGGATCACCGTGTCTAGAGTTATTTTATAAACTTGATGACAGAAGTTAATGTTTCTTCTGCAAGCATGTTTGAGGGGGGCTGCCTATCTGGTGTTTTAAAAGCAATTGAACTAGATGTCTTTATTTTAAAAGAGGAAGAGACCTCAAACTTATTTGGATTTTCAGTCTTTCTTGAAAAATCAGAATGTCTGGCAACTCTGGGCCTACATTTCCATAGGGCAATGGTCAACTAGGACCGAGTAATAGTCACCCCCACTAGGCCAGGCATATGCTCAGTACAGTCTCCCAAAGTCCATTCAGAAACATGCTGTGCCTGGCCCCTGCAGGCACATTGTTTGATAATGCTGTTTAAAAGAACCAAGAAGTGTCTAGGCAGTGGTATGCTGCATCTAGAAACATTGTGCTGGAACTTGAAACCCACTACAGTGGGAGTATTTACACCATGGAAGTTGGCAATTGCTACAAATCATGGCTTTCCATCCCTATTCTCAGAATATTGATTTACTGAGTTTAGGAAACCAAAATTTAATTAATTATATCTAAGTGAGATGTTACAAGAGAAGTTTTTATTAACTGCTTAGTCTATGATATTATTAGAAAATCATGATACAGACACCTTGCACCTATCCAACAGAATCTGCCTGCACCACCGACTACTGCAGTGCCTGCAGTTAATTTCCTCATCTCTTGAAAAGATTTTTCTGACTCCCAAAAGTAGAGCCATTCGAATGCAGATGATGATCCTCTGCCTTCTTTGCTAACTCCCCGCCCAAGTGTGGCGACTAGAGACAGGGGTGGGAAGGAGGGACCCAGGGAGAGCATGGATGGACCTGAAAGAGGAAGTTGGGTGGTATCAGGGAGGAAATCTACAATTTGCGTGTGCTGCTTTCTGCCTGTGAGATTAAAGGCAACAATCTCCTCCTGTAGCCCTCCTTTCTTCCTCTCTTTTCTGACATCCTCTTTGCCTCTTATTTTTGGCTAGTGCCAGTATTTTCAGAACCTGATGTCAATTTCTCTCTAGCTCCTGGTTCTGCTGATCCAATATAGCAGGCAATGGTGTGTGCAGAAGAACTCTTGGTTCCTGTCCCTATTTTGGGTTCTCTCAATACTCTGTGGCACTTTCCAGTTTCAGACTCTGATCCGGATGCTCTTAAAGGTAAGGAGGAATGAGAGGGTGTGATGAGGGGAGCCTGCTAGGCAGCTTCTTGGGTGGAGTCAGCGGCATGAAATAAGTTGAGCTCCAGGACAAAATCGTATGTAGGGGATTTGATCTATGCTTTCATCACAAATATTGACATATGTGGGCTGCTTAAGACTTAATTTGGATAAAAGGCTCATTTTCTCTTCTGTTTTTTTGTTTTGCCATAGGGCAATACTTCCAGTCTAGCCTACCCTGCCTGTTCCTCATCAGCTATGCATTCCAGATCCTCATCCTGATCCTTTCAGCATTTTCAGAAAGAGGTGACTCATCGAGAGGTGAGACTCAAAATAGACCCACCTCATAGGTTATTTCATTGGCTGGCACCCTGACAAATGTAAGGTGTCAAAATCTAGGTGTCTAGGTGTCATACAGGTCCCCTGAGACGTCTAGGTCTCATGGAGTCCTCAAGACTGGAATACAATAATATATACCAGTTTATGACATAAGGAAACAGAAGGTGAAGAGAGTATGGAAATATTGACTTGTGATATTGACCCACCAATCTTTAACATAGACAATTAATTCACATATCTATGCCAGAAGGTCTAATTATCATTCAACTGGTGACCTTAGCGTCTCCAGATAAATACATATGGACCAGCCTGCTTTAGTGGCACATTGCATCAGTTTCCGATTTTAGAGTCCTGTGAGTTCCTGTTTCCCACTGATTTAGTTTCTGATTTGTGTGTGTGTTTTGCAGAATCCATCAGTCACAGCTTCATTTCTGAGTAGAATCACCTTCAGTTGGTATGACAGGTAAGAAAGCCTGGAAATCAGGTTGCCTCTATTCTCACCCCCCCAGTCTTCTGAAAGTAATGGAAATCTTAATTTTTCAACATGTCTCCTACAGCCTCTATTTCTCCTCTACTTAAAGCCAGAGAAAGTTAGTTCAGTCTCTTTATTGGTTAGACTGGGGCACTGAGGAGATGGAGGGAGAGAGGTTTGCTCTTTGTAGCCTGGGGGGTTCCCTGGAGAAAAGGAAGGGCTGTAAGGAAAGGAGGTGTTAGAACAGGACCAGGGAGCCATAGGGACTGGCGAGCGACACAAATTTGGAGGGTGGATAGAATGAGTTGGATGTGGAACAGGCAGTCTTCTCCTTTGTGCTTCCACAAAACCCGTTGTCTGGTAACTCCCACAAATCCCTTCTTAGGCACTGTTTTCAATGCATAAATGATGTAGAATTATAAAGGAAAACAATTATATTAAAGTATAGTTACCTAAATATTTTTACTTTTATTTATTTATTTTTAAAAGCCAACACAAGGCTCTTTTAAAAAAAAAAGAATTTTATTTATTTATTTTTAGAGAGAGGGGTAGGGAGGGGAGAAAGACAGAGAAACATCTAGTGTGTGGTTGCCTCTCGCATGCCCCCTACTGGGGACCCTGGTTTCTGCAAAACCAGCCATGTGCCCTGACTGAGCATCAAACCAGCAACCCTTGGGTCACAGGCCAAGACTCAACCCACTGAGCCACACCAGCCAGGGATACATATTTAAAAGAAAAACAACAAATGCGTAGTAATATGAGTGCTTCTTTATGAATGCATTAAACAAAAAGATCTAGTAATGTGTCTAATAATGACCATAATTTCAAAGTAGTGATGAGTGTAAATGGGCCTTGGGAACATCTGTGATTTCTTCTAGAGACAAAGGCACAAGCAGTCCCTTAGAAAACTCTGGTTGCCTTTGCCTCTATTAGAAGGAAAAGCTAAGTATCAGTTAGAAGCTGTTAAAAATAAAGACTTGATTTTTTTTTCCATCCATTTTTTTCAAATCCTAGGTTGAGAAGCTCTGATCCTTAGAAAGGCAGTATGGGTGTCTCCAGGTCTGCTCTGTTCCTTAAAGGGCGTTGCTGAAGTCCCCCAAGGAGTAGCCTGACCAGCAGAGGCAGCTGGTGTTTGAAGAGGAAGGAGCATGGGGAGGGGGAGGTGATGCGTTTTGAGCTCTTGATTCGGTAGTGCCCCTCCACTTCTTTTTTTCTTGTCTTCCACCCCCTTGTTCCCCCACAGGATCCCCTTCCTGCTTCCCCCACTCTTCTGTCAAGATCAAAGGGGAGAGGTAGGCAGTGAGGAAGGGGGAGGTCTCGTTTCTCCCTGTCCCTCCAACCCAGAAGTGAGTGGGGGTTTGAGCAGAGGCACCCAGGGAGACAGCCTCTGACCCCAGCCTTCCGCAGGGCCCCCTTAACCTCTGGGTCCCTCTTATTCTAGTGTTGTTCTGAAAGGCTTCAAGCCGACCTCTGACACTTGAAGATATCTGGACATGTTGATGAACAGAGTAAAAAGCAAGGCACTGGTCAACAAATTTGAAACGCACATGGCAAGAGAGCTGCTGAAGGCCAGGCGGGCACTGCAGAAAGCGCAGCGGAAGAACATCCGGAGGGACTCTGGAAGCAGGCTGCATGGCCTAAGCAAGAACCAGATCAAAAGCCAAGATGTCCTTGTCCTGGTAACTTGTCCCATGAGGGTGTGTGTGAGTGTACTGTATGACTCGGGCAAGAGGAAGGACATCAGGGTCATGGTGACCTCTCTCACATTCTTATGTCACTTTATACTTTGCAGTGTAGTTTATATTATTATTCGGCGTATTCCCACCATACTAATAACACCTTAGTGAGGACTACATGGGGGTAGAATGTGGAATTTGCTCTCCTTTTGGGTATATTTGAAATTTTCTATGACAAAATGGCTTTAAAATAAAAAAGATAAAATAAAATAATGCCTTAGCATTACTAGAACTTGTGCCTTGGTGGATTTAGCATTAGCAGTTAAGTCATTTACATTTTCATCGAAAATATCTATTGAGTGCCACTGCATGTCACCAAAGCTTGCATACAAAGGAGGCAGCAGGGCTCAAGGGCTTCCACAGGACGGGGACAAGATCCTACCCCCCACCGCTCTGTGGACACTGCTGTTGTTGACTTTGTACTTGGGAAGAAGCCAAAAAGAAGAAAAAGAAGTCTGAGACCACAGAGGACTTCCTAAGTCCTCTGAGGACTTCCCTAAGTCCTGGCTGATCAAGGCCCTCTTCAAAACTTTCCGGCGCCATCATCCTGAAGTCGTTCCTGCTGAAGGTGGTGTATGACCTGCTCACATTTCCTGAATCCTCGGCTGCTGAAGTGAGTCCCTGTGCCTGGGCCATCCTAGGGGCCTCCCCAACCACCACTCCACTCTGCCCCCATGTCTGTGGGAAGGAGCTTACCATTAAATTTTCATTTTTTAAATGCTCACAGTTTTCGTCCACTTTACAGTGAGTGTGCATGAAGAGTGCAAGGCAGCTTTCAAACTCTAAGATGATGATGTTCTTCAGCGGTCTCTTTTCCACACTTCTCCCCAGCCCCCGCTGCATGAGAATGCCAGATACACATTAGGAACTCTTTCTTGTTAAACAAAACCACTGTGGAAAGCTGAGCCATGTCCAAGAGGTGGACCGCAGGAGAGCCTGCTGGCTTGTGTCTGTACCCTCCTTGCTCCACAGCCACTACCCGACAGCAGTTCAGGTTAGCCATGACAAGACGTCCGCTTGGACTTCAGCACAACTGCTCCTCAGGGGGGAGCCCCTTCTTAAGTCATTCTGGACACCTGTCCTAATTCCTTTCTAGGCCTGCATTGTCTAGGAGTTAATCAGCTTGTCCCACAGAGCCTCTTTAGCCGGGACACAGCACTGCAGAGGCAGCTCTGCAGCTCATTCACAATCCTCTCGAACATAGGTCATCAGCCTTAAGTGCTTCCTGCTCCTGTTCTCACCAGAGCAAGATGATCTGTGGCACTCATTGTTCCCAGAGCACTGCACAATTCCGGTACTTCGTGTTACCTACAGGGCAGGGTAGGGTAGGCGGCTGAGCACGAGGTGTGTGGAGCCCTTGGAGGCCTGGTGGCCGTCACTTACTCGGTTTTGCTCTGGCAGATTGCTGATCTCCTTCGAAAATGATCAGGACAGTTATGTGTGGATCGGATACCTGTATTCAGTCCTCTTCTTCGTTGTGGCCAGGCTCATCCAGTCTTTGTGCCTTCAGTATTACTTCGAACTTTACTTCAAGCTGGGGGAGTAAAAGATGCGGACCACCATCAAGTAGCTTCTGTGTATAAAGGTAAGTGAACTGTGTCAGGCTTCGCCGGAGGGAACTCCCCAAGAATGAGCACTGAGTCCGAGGCTGAGGGAAGTCTAAGGTAAATGATAACCGACCTTAACACCCGGTTTTGACTAACCATATAAGCTTCTTTAGATGTTTCTTTGGAAACAAAATAATGAAAGATTGAATATAGACGTAGTAGGTGTGTGTGTTGGGGGGTGAGGGATGCACGTTCCAGGGAAAAACTAGCCAGCTGTTCTCTGCCAAGTATCTGCCTTTGAGCCTTAAAGGCTTTCTTATCTGTCCCCCTTCTTTCTACCTCTTGACAAAATGGAAAGTCAGAAAAGCAGCTGTCGACACAAACTCTTAAAACCACCAACACTGAAGTCCAATGCCACGTGAAGCATAGTTACCATGAGGCCTGGTGTGTCCATAAATTACCATTTTGCCAGAGACAAAAATGTACTGTGGATCTGGGCTCCACCCCGCCAGACTGCTTCTTCTTAGTGACTTCTTTTTTCAGTAAATCTTTACTGGCTGACCAACCTCTCTACTGCCTGATTCCTCTTTTTTTTAAATTTGTAAATACATTCAGTCTGCCTTCTGGGCTTTTTGCAAACTTGGGAGCTTTTCATCTCCTTAAGGGTGGTTTGGCCATCTTCCTCTGATATGTTGCTTTTAAATTTTGAACTTTCTCAAGGCAACTGTGTTTTTCTTATATCCTAGACAGCAAGGTAGAAGTCTCATTTAGTCCTTTAAGAAATGAAAAAATGGAGTTGTTGTCTCAATAAAGAAAAAAATAAAGTTAAAAAAAGAAATAGAAAATAGAATAAGGTTCCCATCAGGGACTGGAAACTTTAGGGAAATTTTTATACATGAGGGAGATAAGACTTTTGGAGAAGTCAGAACAATACAAAGGGGGTGCCCTTTCTTCCTGGTTTTTTTCTCCGCCACTAGAGCGCTCCATCGCGCTTGGTTTCTCCCCTGACGGTTCCCTGGGTTTCTCTTGCTCTCTTCTCCCTACAACATTCATGAGCCTTGGTCTTCCCTGAGTAGATGTGGAACTCCTCAAGAGGCCCAGACAAGGGTGACCCAGTCTTTGAAGTCAGAAGTGTGGGAAACACTCCCACAAACCCCTCCCAAATTAACATTTTTAATCCCCTTATTC